ATAAAGAGTTGCCGCACTGCACTGTATTGTGTAGGGAATAATGACAAGGGGAAAAAAAGACAATTAATTTTTTTGACTATTTTCTTTTTTTTCCCCAGAAACCTTTTATTTAAGGAACACAAACACCACACATTTTATCATTACAACCTTAGGAACATGGTGATTCTTCCCACCATACCCACCCTCCCACCCACTCTCCCACCCCACTTCCTCTTCCCTCTCCTATTCCCATTCTTATTTTTTACTAACACCCATTTTCAATTAATTTATACACATGATTAACTCTGTTAAGTAAAGAGTTCAACAAATATTATGAAAAAAAAACTTCCTCAACAGTTGAGACAAGGGCTGATCAAAGTCATTGCTTCTCAAAATCTCAATTTCACTTCTATAGATTGCCTTTTAGATGCTCTATTAGTTATCACCGGTCAGGGAGAACATATAGTATTTGTTCTTTTGGGACTGGCTTATTTCACTAAGTATGATATTTTCCAATTTCTTTCCTTCTGTTGCAAACAACCGGATTTCATTTTTTTTAACTGTTGGGTAGTATTCCATGATGCATATATCCCAAAATCTCTTTATCCAATTATCAGTTGATCGGCATTTGGGTTGATTCCATATCTTAGCTTTTGTGAATTGAGTTTCAGTAAACATGGGGGTACAGGTAACTCTTTCCTAAGCTGATTTCATTTTCCTTGGGTAAATTCCCAGGAGTGGGATGGCTGGGTCATATGGTAGGTCTGTATTCAGATTTCTAAGGTAACTCTATACTGCCTTCTACAGTGGCTTTACCAGCAACAGTGGATTAGGATATCTTTTTCCCCACATCCTTGCCAGCATCTGTTGTTTGTTGATTTTTGTGTGAAAGGCATTCTAACAGGGGTGAGGTGAAACCTCATTGTGGTTTTGATTTGCATTTCACTGAAGCTAGTGATCCTGAGCATTTTTCATGTGTCTGTTGGCCATTTGGATTTCCTCTTTTTTTTTTTTTTTTTTTTGACAGGCAGAGTGGACAGTGAGAGAAAGAGACAGAGAGAAAGGTCTTCCTTTGCCATTGGTTCGCCCTCCAATGGCCGCCACGGCCTGCGCGCTGTGGCCAACGCACCGCGCTGATCCAATGGCAGGAGACAGGTGCTTCTCCTGGTCTCCCATGGGGTGCAGGGCCCAAGGACTTGGGCCATCCTCCACTGCACTCCCTGGCCACAGCAGAGAGCTGGCCTGGAAGAGGGGCAACTGGGACAGAATCCGGTGTCCCGACCGGGACTAGAACCCGGTGTGCCGGCGCCGCAAGGCGGAGGCTTAGCCTAGTGAGCCGCAGCGCCCGCCTGCTGGATTTCCTCTTTTGAAAAGTGCCTTTTTCAGTCCTTTGCCCATTTCTTAACTGGGTGGTTTGTTTTGTTGTTGAGTTTCTTGATCTCTTTATATACTCTGATAATTAATCCTTTATCAGTTACTTACTTTGCACATATTTTCTGCCATTCTGTCAGTTGCATCTTCACTTTGCTCATTGTTTCTTTTTCAGTACAGAAGCTTAATATGATGTAATCCCATTTGTCTTTGACTGTTTTCAACCTAAGGTTGGTTGAATCTGCAAGTGCAGAATTCATGGACACAGAGTGCTGACTGCCTTTGAACAGCTAGTGGAAAAGTGTGCTTGGATTCAGGGACTACAGGATATGGCCTCACATTTCAGCAGTCTCCAGTGAGCTCCCACAGTGTGTGCTCAGAGCTTAGGAAAAGCAGGATGGTATGGTTCAATTTATATTTTTAAAAAATAGCTTTCAATAAGCCCAAAGGCAGAATAAAGGGGAAGAGGTAAAGGACATACAAAATAAATGAAACACAGTTTCTATCCTTGGTGCATTCCTGGTATAATAAGGAAACAATTCTGTTTTAAAGGTGCAAGGCAGGGTGGACCTCTGGGTCAGGGGTTAAGATGTAACTTGGGATGCCCACCTCCCATACTGGACCTGCCTCTGCTCCTGATTCTAGCTTCCTGCTAACATGTACACTGAGGACAGCAGGTGGTGGCCCAAGTACTTGAGTTCCTGTCACCCACACGGCAGACCCAGCACCTAGCTTTGACCTGGCCCAGCTCCGGTATTTGCAGGCATTTAGGAAGTGAACCAGGAATGAAAGATTGATATCTCTCTCTCTCTTTCTCTCTCTCTCTTTCTCTGTCTCTCTCTCTCTCTCTCTCTCTCTCTCTTTCTCAAGAATGAATTTGTTAAAGTGTAAAACGGTTGGCTTCTTCCTTCCAGAGGCCCCTTCATTAGGCATGTCACGCATCATATGGACATCCCCTGTTAGGGTCAGGTTCACATTAAGTTAGGAAGAGAGGACTTTGCAATAATAACAAGTAACTTTTATCAAGCACTTATCATTTGAAGTATTGCCAAAGTGTCTTACACTTATTAACCCATGAGGCATGTACCATTATTGACTCCATGCAACTCAGTTCTTGGAACAATGGAGGTGCTCAAAACACTTGAATGAACAAAGACATAAATGGCTTCTCCAGAGGTAGCCCTGGCCTTCCCACCCCTCCCTAGTCCTCATTTGGAGGGAGTTACCCACAGGGAAGCTCTTGGCCTCTGCTAGCCCAGTGGACTTGTGGTTCTGCCCTGTACTTACCCAAAGAAGGTGAAGAAGATAGGACAGAGATAGCGTGGTAACTCGAGGGGCTCATCTTGGTCTGTTTGGGCTGGCAAGGGGCTTACCTTAGTCTAAACTGGGTGGCTTATAAACAACAGAAACTCATTTCTTCACAGTTCTGGAGGCTGGACGTCTAAGATTCAGGTCCCAGCAGATCCCTTGTCTGGTGAGGTCCTGGTTCTTGATTCTAGAAGACACCCCACTGTGCGCTCACACGGGAGGGAGTCCTCTTGTCCCTCCTTTGGGGGGTGGGGCAAGTCTTCAAAAAGTTCATGGAAAATGCATATTTTGAAAAACTACACCCAGATCTCAATATTTTTTGCACCAAACGAACTTGGTTTTTGCCTCTTTTTCCTACCAACTCTTGGAAGCACCTCTGTACAAAGGGCACCACTTCTATCCAAGACTTCATGACCTAATCAACTTGTAAAGATGACACCTCCGAGTACCATCACATTGGTAATCAACACATTAATTTTAGGGAACACAGACCATAGTAGGAGGGTAGTTTTGATCCACATGAGAGGGTGGAATTATTCAGCAGACTGAACTGATTTTAGGAAAGGGCCCATGGGGCCAGTGCCATGGCACACTAGGTTAATCCTCTGCCCGTGGCGCCAGCATCCCCTGTGGGTGCTGGTTCTAGTCCCAGTTGCTCCTCTTCCAGTCCAGCTCTCTGCTGTGGCTGGGATAGCAGTGGAGGATGGCCCAGGTCCTTGGGCCCTGCACCTGCGTGGGAGACCAGGAAGAAGCACTTGGCTCCTGGCTTTGGATTGGCGCAGCTCTGGCCGTTGCAGCCATTTGGGGAGTGAACCAACAGAAGGAAGACCTTTCTCTCTGTCTCTCTCTCACTGTCTGTAACTCTGTACCTGTCAAATAAATAAAATCTTTAAAAAAAAAAAAAGAAAAGAAAAGAAAGGGCCCAAAAGTAGGACATCTGCAGAGGATGAAGGAACAGAGTTGGCTGTGTCCCAGTTGAGGACAGGAATCCTGCAGAACAGTGTCTCTCTGTGCCCAGTGCTCAGAGGCACCTCAGCAAGGTGCTGAGCTGCAGGGGGCTCTCAAAAGCATGCTCACGTGATTACACCCACCCCCAGGCCTCACCTGGCCACAGGGACGCTGTGTGGCCTCATCTCATCGCTTCCCTCCTGGGGCCGCCTCCTTCTCTGTTCAGATGCCACTAAAGAAGCCAAGTTCCCCTCTCCAGCAGGTAAAGTTCCATCCTGGAACCCTGCACTGCTCTCTGCAGGCCACAGGAGTCATCACAGAGGCTGACGGTCCTTGCCCTCTGGGGATTTCACAACTGAGAGAGAAGAGGTGCCTTGCTGGGCGATCTGCAGCAGCACCCTTACCTGAGAGCCCAGGAGGTGTGGAGTTCCGGTCTGCCAGAAGCTGTAACTTCCTCTGCGATTCTGCTGTGCCACGTGTGGCGATTTTAAAAGAGGCCATTTGCAGGGCACATTATTTATTGATCAATATAATCCGAAAGGAACGACCCAGGACAGCAGTCTGTAGGGTACAACAGCAAGCCAAGAACACTTGAGAAAATCAAAGGAAAAACACTTCCTACCCCACAACAATGCTGTGAAGTCTCAATGCTGTTGCCCACAGCCACGCCCTTCCCCGTGTGCATCACCTGCCCCTGCCTCCCAGATGCACAGGCGGAGTGGGGCACTGGCAGCCAAGACTGCCACAAGCACCTGGAACGGTTACTCTCTGGCTTTGACATGGCTCTAGGGCCATGGAATCCTTCTTTCCCCATGACTTGCAACCCCTCTTGTTCTCTGGTTAACTGAAGAATTGTGTTCTGGCCCCACAAACCCCAGTCAATACCAGTGGAGCATTCTAGCTGCAGGGGCTCTGAGACCCTGCAGCAGGGGACGAGGTGCAGGGTGGTCAGAACCAAGAGTTCTTGGGCCTCCCACATCCCTGTTCACTGCTCTGCACCTGTCCTGGGGCCTCTTTCCTCCTTCTCCCCTCCTCATCCCTGTGCATGGATGAGGAAGAGCCCCTGCCTAATCTGCTGACTGGCAGGCCAAGGGAGGCTAGAAGAGGATTTTTTCCCCACTCTCCCACTTCAGTCACATAGGGTCAAATGACTCCTTTCTGGCCTTAGCCATACCCAAGGAGGTCAGGGTATGTGCTGGTTGTTCAAGTCCAGTTTGAGTTGAAACAAGATTTCACAGGTGCCATGAGGCCTTCCCGGCTTCCACTTGGCCTGCAGCCTGGTGGTCCGAAGGGCCCTAGAGCAGGGAGAGGGGCGTGGAGCCCCGCCCTTGCAGCACCTGGAGGTGGGGTGGAGGGACTCCTCTTTCCCAAACCCCACCCCTTTCCTCCTCCAGGATCCAGACCTCCAGCACGTCGGGCAAGGGGAAGATGGAAAAGAAACAAACACGGTGCCGGTGTGCCTGTCTGGAACCCGGGGCTTCAAACTTGTTTTCACTGAATCCTGATAGTGCCCGCTCGGCTTCTCTGGTACCACCCACCCTTCAGAGATGCTCTTGTGAGACAGGTGGGTCTGGCGCGGATGCCTGTGTGTTGGGGGAGGGTGGCCACACCTCAGAAACCCTCAGGGCTTCCCTCACGCACCTGCCATTCATGTGGCAGCTTCCTCCCATCCAAGCCCTCTCATCTCTCACTTCCCGCAGTTGTAAAGGCCCTGCCCTGCTTGTGCGTCCTTGGGGACAAGTCTGCGTACCCAAGGGGCCCCGGGGTGCCAGCATCGCCCTGGAGGTCACCGTGCCCTCCTCCCCTGCCAGCTGTCCCCGCCCCGTGGCTCTTGACAGTGACCTCCGGCAACCAGGATGCCCGTCTCGCTGTCACCTAATGCCAGAAACGTTCTTGCGCCCTTTCGCTTTGGGATGTTCTTGCGGACTCCCGCGGGGGGACACGGCCTCCGCCGCCGGCGAACCTGCTAAAGGAGGATTTCCGTGGAGGCCTGTTTGGGGACCAAAACTCAAGCCCATTCCGTTTGCTCCAAGCTCTTGGCCTCTTAAAAGCCATTCGAGGGCGGCAGGCTCCCCCGTGTGGCCAGTTTCCGCCATGGCATCTGTGCAAGATGACAGCAACGGAAAAGTAAACCGCCTTTTGGTCCCACACGCAGAAGTAACTATTACTGCTGCTGCCCTGGCTTCCCGAGGCTTTCGCCAGTACTGCAAGCATGCATGTCTACCTCGCTCTGTGCCTCACTTGCTATTCAACTATGCCACTGTTCCACTGTTAGTATTTTAATGTAGAAATGTTATCGCACTAAACAGTGAAATAATTGCTGAAATACTGAGAAATGATCACTTATTTTGGCTTTTTTTAAAGTTGTATTTATTTATTTGAAAGGCAAGAGTTACAGAGAGAGGAGAGACGCAGAGAAAGAGAGTTCTTCCAACCACTGGTTCACTCCCCAAATGGTGGCAAAGGCTGGGGCTGGGCCAGGCCTAAGGCTGGAACCTAGAACTCTCCATCCAGGGCTCCCACATACTTAGGCCATCTACTGCCTTCCCAGTGCATTAGAAGGAAGCTGGGTCAGAAGTACAGCAACCAGGACTTGAACCAGTGCTCATATGGGATTCTGGCCTTCAGGCAGTGGCTTAACTCACTGCACCACAAGGCAGGCCCATGATCAGTTATTTTACATTCACTATCTCTCTCTCACACACACACACACACACACACACGTGCGCACACTCACTTTTCAGTGAACTCATATTCCTGCAGGTGGGAGTTTCTTCCATGGCCTCCTTGATGTTTGCAGTGATTTGCCAGATGTCTTTCCTACAAAACTCTTGTGCCATAGGAACTCCCAAGTTTACAGAGAAGGAGCCTCAGTTCAGGGCACACAGGCACACAGCTGGTAGTGTCAAGAGCAGGACTCAAGCCCACTATGTTATAACCCAAATCTCTGTTGTCTCGGAGACCCCAGGCCTACCAACTAGCGCTCCCTCCCACACCTGGAAACAGTGTCATCAACCCACATGAGTTGGGGTAGCTACGGGAGTCATTTCTGACCAGTTTTACACATTCAACCAGAACAGCTCCTTCACACCCCAGTGGCCCCAAAGTGGGTGTTCACGTTGCCCTCTGCAGAGTCCCTCCTGGGTCAGCTTTCTCCTGTCTGTAGCAAACACTCCTTGGTTGGTTTAGGTTTGTTCTAGATGCTGGGAATCCCCCCTCCCACAGTCATACTTTATCTCCTGTAGCACTAAAGGTGACTGTGCACAGCCAGGGAGTTCCCAGCTGAGAGAAGAAACCCTTCCATGTCTGCAGTAGTCACTGAGCCATGTTCCAGCCAGACCTTCCCAGGCCCCTGCCGAAGCTGCACACCAGCTGGCACAGCCCTGAGATCACCTGGGCTGATTTGCTTCACTTGGGAGGAGGCTGGAGCTCAGAGAGGAGACCCCTCTGTCCAGAGCACTTGGCAAAGAGGCAGCTCTATAGGGCTGTTTGTATATCCTAGGAGAGACTCTCTTGTGCACAACACAGCAAAAGCGAACCTTCCAACGTTTGGCCCATCACTGGCAGTAACTTAAAATCCAGTGCAGGAATGCAGATGCTCCTAGAGCCAGGATGCTCCCTCCGTGTCCTCAGCAAGGCTATGGGAAGGGCCCATCAGCCATGAGATGCTCATTGAATGAAGCTTCACGGAGCACTGGGTGCCCACAAGGGCTGGCAGCTGTGCATAATTAGTCAACAGAGAGGTTCAGCCACGTGTGAGGCCTTGGAACACTTACTGTGAGAGTAAGGCATCAACCTGTAGCTCTGAGCCAGCGACTGCTTTGCTGTTCGCTCATCCCTACTTCCCTAGTCTCCAGCACAGTCCCTGTCAATAGCAAGTTCTCTTTAAAAGTTTTTAAATAGAGGCAGATGTTGTGGAGTAGTGGCTAAAGCCACCTCTTGGAACACCCACATCTCACAGTGTGTGGGATTGAGTCCCAACTCCATTTGCCAACCAGCGCCTTGTTAATGTGCATCCTGGGAGGCAGCAGATGATAGCTCAAGTACATGGGTCCCTGCCACCCATGTGGGAGATCTGGATTGAATTCCTGGCTCATGACTTCAACCTGGCCCAGCCTTGGAATTTAAGGGCATTTCAAGAATTCTCTCTCTCTCTCTCTTTCTCTTTCTTTTTCTCTCTCTCTCTCTCCCTCACCCCGTCTTTCAAAAATCAAAAAAGGAATCAAAGGGAGTTAATAAACTAAAAGTTTTTGTATAAATGGCACATTCCTGGAATGGAAGAATTCACATCCTAATGAAGAGAGAGGGTTTTCAATGTATACAGAGAGATTCAGCCTTTCTCTCTCCCCAGCTGATTTCATTTATGCTTGGTCAGACACCATGGCAGGCCTTCCCCATTTAATTTGCACAGCTGATAAAAAAGTGGTTAAAAATTTTTAATTGGACAAACATATGTATTGTTGCACATTCTAAGTTTTCCTTTTTCTACTTAGCAAAACCAATAGGGTATGGCTGACAGATTGAGCAAATAAGAAGACAAGATGCCAATTAAATTTGACAATTCTAGATTTTTTAAAAATTGTTTCTAGTGCGTGTTCCAAATACTGCAGATTCCCTAAGTACTGCAATATTCGAAGTATTATCTACAATTCAGATTTAAGTGGGCTTCCTACATTTTAGCTGGCAACTGTTTCTTGGGATTCCTCTCCAGTGTTAGTGGAAGATTCTGAGTGGGCAGGAAGGGGAAGCCTCAGGAAGGAGTCGGCGATGATCAGGGTGTCCTTACAGGGCAGCTGTTCCCAACCCTGCCTGACTGCTGGAACAAGGAAGGGCAGCCAGACTGTGGTGGCTCATGGCGGCTGCAGCTCATCCTGAGGCCAGTCCTCTGCTGATCGGCTAGGCAGGAAGCAGAGTTTTTCTGCTGAGATAAGAGGCAGAGAGGTCAGTCCTGGGATCCTTGCTGTACCATGGTTCTGTATCGTGCTGTGAGGTAAGCAAGGCTACGTGAACGTTACTATTGGTCTGGGCTGAGCAGGGCCTCAAGAGCTCTGGTCTTTATGACAAGGGGGGAGTAGGGGGACAGGGGATTAGTCAGCACCTCTTTCTGTGTGTGTGTAGCGGGGGGTGTCTTTTTGGTGAACTTCTCTTAATACCTCTCAAAGCAGAGAGGGAGAAAGGGGTTCATGTCTAGTCTTGATCGTAGAGTCTGCACTTCTATCAGACTAATGCTAGGAGCTTTGGCTTCCAGCCACGAGGCCCCTTCTGCAGGTAGGCGATGCAGCTGTGCTCACCCAACTGAGCAAGGTGGGGCTCGGGACAGTGGCACTCAAAGGCTCATCGCCTCCCTTCTCTTCACCTCCCCACGTGCACGTGCAGACCCCGTGACCCTAAAGTATACAGGGAGCCTCGAGGCCACCCACCTCACAAACAAGTATCTTTACTTTTGTCCACTTGCTGAGTGCCACTTATTTCAGGAGCATAATCTTGAATGCTGCCCATTCTCACAGGATGTTGTGGCCATGTAATCTCCTCTTGGCCTTCGTCATGTCCTAGGATTGCATCTTTTGCAGGCCTCATGTGTCAGAGAAATCCCTGGAGCCATTCTGCCTTCATGTCATGAATCAGCTCCACTGGCTATCTGAAGGGCATTATTTTGCTAGGACCTAGACCTCTGACCGTGGCATAAATGGTACATCCACATTTGGCTGGATGTACGTGTGTAAATAATTGGTCATTACTGATAAGAAAAAGTGGCTTCGGGTGGTCAGTGCTTCAACAATTAGTTATGCATCTTACAAACACCATGATAGGTTGTGGACAAAGCTTTGGATTTGGGCTTGGTTTTACATTTCTGCTCCTCACTAACAGTGTGACATTGAAGTGTATTTAGCTTTTGTGAATCTGTTTGCCCATCAGGGGGGACAATGTGTTTTGCAGAGGGCAATGGAATGAATATATGAAATAATTATCAAGTGCCCAACATAGCCCCTGCCATATAGTACTAGCTTCTGCATTAAGCACGTGCTATGTGCCACACCTTTCCTGGAGACTTAGGAAGATGGGGCACTGAGACAGATGACCAAGATTTCAGCTTTGGGTGAAAATACCCCATAATGTAGGAAGTGAGATGAGAGTGCAGGTTCTGAATCAGCTGCCTGGGTTTGAATCTTGGCTGCAGTTTCTCTTATCTGTGTGATGTTGGGAAGTGTAAACTGTCTTCTACAAAGTAGGGTGAATTAGCACTCAGGGCTGAGAAGAGAGAAGGGAATTTGGTAAGAAGCTGCCTGTTCAGACAAGTTTGGCTCAGGAAAAAAGACGGATGAGACCCTGGCTGCCCAGTGTGGTTGCCCCATCCTCTCTGACCACTGGGGAATGTGACTCTCCAGACATCTCAGCTGCTAGACTTCTGCACGGGTGAGTGTGCCAGTCCCTCTGAGTAGGGCTTGTTTGGCTGGCGCACAGACAGCCGCAGAAGCAGTTATAGTTTCGGAATTATGGACCTTCTGCAACTACTAATACTCAATCATGTTCTGCACAACAACATTTTGGATAATGATGGGCCATAAGATTACATCACCTGGTAATGCTATAGCTGCCCCAGTTTGTACAAGGTCATTCTGTAACTTTGCTTAATAATGCATGTATTAGGAATATGTCCCTGTTGTTGAGTAACACATGTCTTAGGAATCTAACCCTTGGCTTCTCAAGGCTTTTCTTGGGAAAAGAACATAAGCCAAGCCAGACACAAAAGCGCCATTCTTAGTGCTGGAGTAAGAGCCCTATGCAAGAGATTCCCTGCCACAAGCCAAATCTCATGCCTCATGGGGAGTGATGTTGAGTTCTCTTGCGCTGCATCTTGGTAGTGAGTAATGGTTATAATAAGCACACCTGCAGCATGGAAAATCAATTTGCTTGCCTTGGGGGACAGGGTCCTCCTCATAATAGAGTTCACGGAGAAGGGAGCTGTTGTAAATGACACTGGTTGGGTGTTGTTCGACTAAATGAAGTGAGTTTTAGACCATAGGGAATCTAGTATTTGGCATCCACCCAAATGGTTCCAAGTTATTAAGTTGCATTTATGTCTCTGCGCAGTCCTGAAAGCCCCACCAGGGTTTTAAAGTTGGAAGAAAAGTTACTTCTGGAGCCCCCAAGTGTGGATTCACAAGAGGATGCCTGAATTGAGGGTGGAATTCGGTACTTACAAATAAACAGATCAAGGCCGTGTGGTGGGGTTTGTTTCATGGATTCGAATTGAACTTATTGTGTGTACCCAGGGTGCTGGGGATACATGGCAGTGAACATCTTATGTTCATGGGCCTCTCCTTTCAGGAAATAAAGAAAAAGTGTTGTCTATAATTGGTGCTAATCCAGACAGCTAATCCAATTAGGTTCAGTTCAAGTTCCTACCATTAGCTGTGGGTCCTCAATGTGGAAAACAAGTAGGTGGCTGTGACATGGCCAGGATTCTCTTCCCCCAGAGATGTCACCTTTACTGGAACTCTATGACTTGATGTTGACACTGACCCTGCCAGAGCCAATATTACTTCTTTTATTTTTAAGAGGAAAGGTTTATTATCGGGTGGGGGAAGGCCAACAGGCCACGGGGAGAAGGTGAGAGAGTAAGAGAAGGCACATGTTCAGGAAACAGGTACTGGTGTACCTTGGCAGGGTTGGGCAGGGTAAGAGGAGCAGTGAAACCCATTAGGGTGGGGGTGGAGTTGACACCTGTGGTTGGGCCATCTGGTCACCTGGGTTACTTCTTAGGAGAAAAGTGTGAGTTGTCCCTGTACCTCCTGATGCTCAAGAAGAGATCATGTGGGAGAACAACTAATGGAAGTAAGATAAGAGGACAACCCTCTCCAGGTCCACCAAGGCAGGCATCACAGTTCCCAAACATACTTTTGCTCTATTTCTACCTGACTTTTGCTATCCAAAGTAATCAACTGTTTTGATAGATCCGTAAACTACTAATGTTGCCACATCATCTCCCTTGTCAATTTTCCAGCTATTCTTCCATTGGTCCATTTCAATAATAGAGGACTATTAACTGTTCCAATAAGCAGGCACCTTGTCAGTCCCAGGATAAAGTATTCAGGGACTTGTGAAGATCAGTGAGGGTGCCGTCAAGGAATCTGGTCTAGTGGGAAGCTTCAGACATGTATATTTACCTGGAATTTTTTCTGGTCTTTGGCAGTTTTTCTAGATCTGAGTCAGCAATTAGCCTGCCTCCTTAAGCTCTTCATTTCTCATTGGAGTTGTATGGTGTTATTGTGTGGCTGTCATATGACCTTCAATCTAACAGAGGTAATGAATAAGATATACAATTTATTGAGCCTTTAATATGTACCCAGCACTACAAGAATCCCACAGGCACTAGTTCATTTAATCTCCCAATGTTCCTGCAAGGTAAGTGCTATCACATCTTACAGATGAGGAACTGAGATTAGATGCTAAGTAAGTAAATTATATGTACAGGGGCTGGCACTGTGGCGCAGTGGGTTAATGCCCTGGCCTGAAGCGCTGGCATCCCATATGGGCGCTGGTTCGAGACCCGGTTGCTCCACTTCTGATCCAGCTCTCTGCTATGACCTGGGAAAGCAGTGGAAGATGGCCCAAGTACTTGGGCCCTTGCACCCATGTGGGAGACCCAGAAGAAGCTCCTGGCTCCCAGCTGTGGATCGGCACAGCTCCAGCCATTGTGGCCAATTGGGGAGTGAACCAGCGGATGGAAGACCTCTCTCTCTCTCTCTCTCCTTTCTCTCTGTGTAACTCTGACTTACAAATAAATAAATAAATCTTTAAAAAAATTATATGTAGAACAGGTAGATCTAGGATTCAAAGTGCTTCCAGAGTTAAATAGGCTTTTGTCCTTATACCAAGTCTCCTGTAAGTACCGGAGAAAGGCGTGAATGTGTTGTTTTGCTGCCTCTAAAGCTCTCAAGGAGAATAACTGCTTTATTTGGCTGGTGAGGGTTGGAGGAGGTACAGGAGGAGACATTCTCGAAGCAAGGAGGCAGCTGACAATTCACAAAGTTTAAGTAAAAGCACTGTATTTTCATGTTTTTGCTTATTGCTGCATAAAACTAGCTAAAAATCTGCTAAATCAATTACTAATTAAAGGCTATGGCTGGGCCAATATAAGCACTAAGAAGCTATTTAGAGTATGCAATATGACTATTGGCTCTGACTCAGTCATTCATTTCTTTTTCTATTTTTTAGATTTTATTTCTAATCAGTTTTTAACAGATTCAATGTGATTTGTAGATGCAATTTTAAGAACATAATGATATGCCCTCCCTCCTTCCCCCTCCCTTCTACTCTTGTTCAGTTGGCTTAACCTCTGCTTCTGCTACATCAAGAATGGTTAGCTCCCTTTTGTTGGCTATCTACTGCATGCCATCTCTCTACTAGGTATCATCATGCATTTTCTCCTCTTAAATGCAAAGTACTCTGGAATTATCCTTGACTTTCTTTATGGGAGTTACGATGCACAAGATACAGAATCTTGCTTACCTATTAGACCTGGATGATAGTTTCCAGGAACTTGAGTGTATCTATGAATGCAATAATATCATACTGATTTGAGGTTAAGAGGAGCTCTAACTACCAAGACCAGGAAGCCTAAAATTTTCACAAATTAACAGAAAGCAAACCTTCCTGCAAGGTCTCTGTTAAGAAAGAAATTCCACTAATCCCAGTGGATCTACACAGAATGAGCCAGAGCACTGGGCAGCAGCATCCTGTGAAGTGTGCGGAAGGAAATCTTGGCGAGGGTGAGCTTGAGGTCCCACAGCAGCATGATCGGCTGGAGGTTGGAGGTCTCCACTGGAAGACATTCTAGGTGTCCTCTCTCCTATGATCTTGACTCAGGCAACTTCAGGTCCAGATTATCTTTCCCACACCAACCACATGGCATGTGATGCTGGTGAGGGATGCACTCAAAGCTGGCTATGAAACTGACACCAGGATCCCGCTTCAAACTGGAATCAGAGCCCCAGAAGCCCAATAATTAAAGGTGGGTCTTCCCATGTGGGTGTAGGGGCCCAAGGATTTGGG